AATTAAGAATAAGCTATATAAACATTCAACGCATTCCAAAAATCAACTATGTGCTTAAACTTTTTATAGATTGAGTTTAAAGTAATTCAATAAAAAAAGATAATAAAATTTTAAATAAACACATAATCACTTCCTTAAAAAATAATGCAGTAATAAAATATAATGGCCTATTGGAAGGAATAACAATGGAGAGTCAAACCATTCATTCTATAAATGTTATGCCAGCTTCTCTCTTCCTGGTCTTCTTTATATAAGCATCCGTTATATCTCTATTATAACTTTTTAAACTATTGAACAGAAATATTAATCATAAAGATAGAGGCTGTCTGGCCAGAATTCATAGTTCTTCAAATTAAAGATACTTCGGCCAGTATAAATCTTTTTATTGTCTCGACGTTTCGACAAAAATCTTTTGTCCTCGTCAGGAGCGAACAAAAATTAAAACATTTGGTAAGGCGTTAAAATATTCTATTATAATAATAAATATTCTAGAATAATTTTAACGCTTTGCCAAATGTTTTAATTTTTGTTCGCTCCTGACGAGGACAAAAGATTTTTGTCGAAACGTCGAGATAATAAAAAGATTTACTGGCCGAAGTATCTTTAATTTGAAGAACTATGAATGCCATCTTTTTTCTTAAGGCGATATTTTCTACTAAGTAGCTTTCACAAATAAAATAAAACTAATTTATCTTCATCCTATATATTTACAGAAGCATAGGGCTCCTCTCCCGTCAAAATAAACGTCAAAGCCTGACGCCATCTATTGACCGTCGTCGGAACTAGCGGCCTCGGGTCGGTGACAAAGCCACAACACCAGCTTTGGCAAATTGAGAAGCGTCCACCTAGAGACCATGGTTTCGGGCTAATGGCCCTCGTCAGTCTAGGGCGGACTTTATTCCATGAGATCCACACGGGATCTAATGGAATCTTCACAAACTACCAAAGAGGTGTTTTGCTGGCAAGGTGGCTTTTTTTGACGGGAGAGGCGCCCTATGCTTCTATGGATCTATTTCTTCCCGGCAAATTTTCCATATATATATATATGTATATACAATATATTTATTGATTTCTCAAGAAGCCTCCGGAACCAAAACAATTTTGGTCTTAAAGATACAGCCTACACCACAATGACGAGAACCAACAGCCCGAAACGCGTTCATCGTTGGCTTTTCTTGATTTATATAGAAAATGGGTTGGCCAAATATCAGGGAACAGGCTAAATCGACGTTTATTTGATTTCTGTTCCACTAGATGGCGCTCTGCCATCTAAAAAGTCCACGTGAACGTGTTCAGTAATGCCTCTATTGATTTTAATGATATAGAATTGGCTTTTCACAAATTATGAAGAACGGCACAGTCAAATGGCGTAACATAGAAGAGCGACCCAGCGTGAGGAAATATGAATGTTATTCTCCATTTTCTAACTGCTATGTTTACTCCTGTTTGCCCATCTTGGAGAATCCTGTATGGAACGCGTGTCTAATAAAATCTCTTTGTTGTTGATTATGTGTAAAATTGGGAAACAATGAATAATTATCTTCGAACATCTGAAGAAGTGGTTGTCCTTAATGATGTTTCTGCAGATTTCTCTATCGTGTCTAAACCTGAAAGTACGAGGTGTGTTCAAAAGGTATCGCGACTTTTGTGTTTTTCAAATAATATTTATTTATTCATGAATACCTATTTTGTCCCCTTCAAAGTAATCCCCATGAGATATTATACACTTGTGCCAACGGTTTTTCCAATCTTCGAAGCACTTCAAAAAATCATTTGTAAATCTTTTTTAGCTCCTCCTTCGATGCCGTCTTTATCTCGTCAAGCGTAGCGTAACGTCGTCCTTTCATGGGCCTCTTCAGTTTAGAGAACAAGAAAAAGTCACAGGGGGCCAGATCTGGGGAATACGGTGGCTGCGGCATCATTAGTGCGTTGTTTTCGGCCAAAAAGTCGCGCACAAGCAACGATGTGTGAGCAGGGGCGTTATCGTGGTGCAAAAGCCTATTTTTGTTCTTCCACAAACCCGGGCGTTTCTGGCGGATTGCTTCGCGCAAATTGCGCATAACTTGCAGGTATATTCCTTATTGACCGTTCTACCCTGTGGCAAGAACTCATGATGCACCACGCCCCTGCAATCGAAGAAAACTGTCAGCAAAACTTTCACATTCGACCGAACTTGGCGCGCTTTTTTCGGTCTTGGTTCGTGCGGCAGCTTCCATTGAGATGATTGAGCTTTGGTTTCCACGTCATAACCATAAACCCACGCTTCGTCACCAGTTATGACCCTCTGGAGCAAATTTGGGTCGTCGCGGACAGAGTCCAACATCTCATTAGCAATGTTCATGCGATGCTGTTTTTGGTCGCAATTGAGCAATTTTGGTACGAATTTCGCGGCGACCCGTCTCATGCCCAAATCATTGATAAAAATCGAATGGCACGAGCCAATCGATATGTTTAGGTCCTCAGCAACTTCTCTAACGGTGATTCGACGATTGGCCAATATCATTTTCTCCACTTCATTAATTTTTCGTCTGTTGTTGAAGTGCTCGGGCGTCCGGCACGCTCTTCGTCGTTCACATCTTCTCGGCCTTCTGAGAACATTTTGTACCACCGATAAACGTTGCTTCGGTCCAAGGTAGCTTCTCCGTATGCCACAGTCAACATTCGGAATGCATCCGCGCACTTAATTTCGTTTTTCACACAAAATTTGATACAGGTTCTTTGATCCATTTTTTAATAGGTAAAAATCGAAGACGATCCAAAACACCTGCAAGCGAAGCAGCTGTCAACAATTAAGTGAACATTCAAAATGGCCGAGATTGTCGGCATATGTGAGAGACATGAGTACCAACATAAAGCCACAAAAAGATCGAAATTCGAATATACGTAACCCGCGAAAATTCAAAAGTCGCGATACCTTTTGAACACACCTCGTATCTCTTGGCTCTTCCGATAATAATGATTTAAATATATTCGGACAAATAAAATTCTCTGCAATACCTATAAATAATAAACAAAATGGCTTCCAAAGATGTGTTTCTTGTTTTATTGCCATTCCCACAAGTTTTTGGGCCTTGGAGCCCTTCTACAAAAGAAAAGTTAACTCCTGTAAAAGGTCCCTAAAGCCCGAAATTTTGAGTTATTTAAATGATTTTTTTTTGCAAGATACTTTTCCCTGGATGTATTTTCTCTCAAATGATGTAATACAAGGGATTATTTAGAATATAATACCTTTAACATGGATTAATATTTGAGGAAGAGCATTTCTCGATACATTTTCTTGTAATTATATGTATGTACCTATGTATATCAAGAAGTTAATGTCCATAGTTTCCCTAAATACATCTAATCTGTCTTCTTTAGTAAATGCACGGTATATAGAAAAATAACTTAATACGATTGTAAAGCGCTCAGGAGATTAATTTGGTGAAAACGCTCAGAGGGTTCACCACTGATGAGCTAAGCCTTCTCATTTAATAATTTCTATAATTTCAGTAAAGTCTGGAGATATATATGAACTCATGGACAAAACTTATGGAAGTATAAAGTCTTTGATGTCGCCGTTTTTTTTTTTTTTTTAAGATACAGAGGCAATTATTGTTCGCACTTGGTTATCCCATGTGTCTTCAATGAAAGTTACTGTGTATCAAATATCTTTCAGAGTTATTGTCTGAATCCCGATATACATGCTAAAAGGCACAAATTCTTTAATTTTTGTCCATGAATGTATATATACATATATAATGTTTTATAATATATCATATATAAAGAGAAAAATGTGTTGACAAAATAACAATCGAAAAACTTTTATTTCATGCCATATATTTTGTAAATATGCAAGCGAGTCTATTCTGGTTTTCGGCAAAACAGATGTTTGTAATATTAAATAATCTTCTAGTCATTTCTATATTTTATATTTGGAGCTCTGAAAATGGAACGTTTTAGTTGCTATTTATTCCAATAGATGGCGGTAGTTAAGTTCAAATTTTGTAATCCCCA